TCCAAACTCCTCTCCCCCTCCACAGCCTGGACGTTCTCTTGTTCCAGAAAAGGATGGCGCTGGAGGGAGCCCCAGCTGTGACTCACTCCGAGCTAATCCTTGGCAAGCCCATCACCATGGAGACTGTCAATCATGCATGCTCTCCATAGCTTACTGGAACATCTGCCAGGGGAAGCCAAGGGATACAAACTGTTGTTCCTGCCTCCCGTGTTTACCTCGAGGGCCCCGGGAAGCAGGGAGAGGCAGGGAAGGCGACCCTCCACAGCAGGATGGAGGCCCAGCTCTGGTCACTAAGTAGCTGCATGGCCTTTAGCAACCCTTCATAAGTGACTCTGTGTGTCAACTTTCCCAGTTGGTTTAATAAAGGATCTAATCAGTGATTCTCACCCTGACTGGGCTGATGTGGGGGTAGCAGAGATAGGGAAGCACATGCCCTAAAAGGGGTGGGGTAAAAAACAGCCTGTGCAGACAGTTTCTTCAATACTATGATTTTATATTTGGAATATTACAAAATAATATTTTCATAATTTAAACTGTAGACTATAAAGCTTGGCTAATATTCTTAGGTAGCAATCTTTCTCAAAGGAAGGACAAAGACACCCCTGTCTGGTCCAGGGAGGCATATCAGAATTTCTAGAGTATGTGAAGGGTTTTCATTCATCAAAAATGAATATGGCTTTAAAAGACCAAAAGTTGGGAGTTGCTGGACTAGCTGATTTCAAATGATAATTGGGCTCAAATTCTGGGCTACTGGGTGACATCTTCAAACATCAGGCCACCAGTTCCTTCCTGGAGGGAGAAGTACTAGAGGGGATGCTGACCACCCCTGCCCCCTCTCAGACCAGACACGTCTCCTCTTATTAAGATTCCGGGCCTGGAGAGGCAGAGGAGGCAGGCCCTGGGAAAGTGTGGAGGGGACCCCAGGAGTCACCCTACTGAGGCAGTCTCGTGGGTGCGCCGAAGGAGAGTGGTCTCCGAGTGTGCCAGCCAAGGAGGCCTTCAGCCCTGCTTCAGGTGTAGCTGCCCCCTGGCACTTGGGGCTTCTTGTGCCCCAAGTCTTCTTGACTTGGGGTGGGACTCATTGCCAGGCCAGAGGACATGCTCAGCTCTTGAACGTGTGCTCTCCTGGTGAGTGGGAAGGGAGAGGTGGGCAGAGGTGGGCGAGGGGGGTAGGTAGACAAATTTTCAGGTGTTAACTTTTTAATAATAATTCCCTCGGTTTTATTCACACCCTTGCCTTTTCTTTTCATTCATTCAAGAGGAAGTTGGCCTGTATTTTATTGCCATAGAGGAGACACGTGGCAGGAAGCAGCAATATCTGCCTGCATGTTATTTTGGGTCCTATTCTCAAAAGCCTGAGTCCTTCGGAGATTTTAAAGAATCAAGGAAGTAGAAAAGAAGCTTCAAAATGGGTAGAGAAAGAATGGGGAGACAAGAATAGAATTTGCTACATAGCTGGCAGGGTCTAGTGCAAATAAAAATACAGGTTGCTTTGTTTAAAAATTATTAAGAATTTTAGCAACAGCAAAAATTAAGCGAAGCATGGGGCCTTTCTGAGCTTGGGGCCCAGTGTGAATACCTAGATCCATGCCCACAAAGCTGGCTCTGTACTAGAACAAAGGATTGCCCCTGGACCTGGAGGCAGGGAGGGGAAGGCAGACAGGACCTGCAGCAATGGGCACCTGAGGCCCACTCCCTGGCAGCACTGGTGGGGATCCAACCAGACCCCAGAAAGGAAGGTCTGGAAAGTGAATTGTCTCTAAACAGAGGACACCCAGGCTCAGCAGATGTCTGGTGCCCAGAAGTAGCTCAGAATGGCAGATAGCACAAACCTGCAGGGATGTGCAGACATGACGATGGGAAGGCCCGGCTCTGTGCACAGATGGTAAACAGCCAGAGCCCCCTCCTAATGTGCCTTGGTTCTTGGTAACCACTAGGGACAGAAAGGCAGAGCACAGTGGAAACACAGCTGACTGACATCTGTTTTCAGTCATCTTGAGGAAATGAAGATTTAGAGTCAGAGACTGACCCTCTTTTCATTTCACAGAAATGACAGAGATATGCTATTTCTGACACACCCAGATTTGTGGACCAGGATTCCACCTGCCATGACTGAGGCCTATCTCCAGGCTCATTCCTGTGGCCAACCGCAAGGGGCTCAAGTAGGAGACCACTGCAGGCCTCTAGCTGGGAGGGGAAGCTTGGCCGTGGTCACGTCAGGGAGATGGAAAGAAGTAGGAGGTAAAGGAGGCCTTGGAGGCTGCTGGCAAGAAAGAGGAAGACCATAGCTCCCCATTTCTCCCCAGTACCAGCATGAGCCCTTGGCTGGACGGAGGTGCCATTTCCTGAGGTCAGGAGTAGAGAAGAGTCAGTTACGGGTAGGTCGGATGAACATGTTGGGTCTGAGATACCCAAGAGAGGATAGCACGTAGGCAACAGAATACATGACGGGAAGCTCAGAGAAGTCCAGCTGGAGGTGTAAGTTGGGAGACATCAGCTTTGTGGGTATCACTGAACGATGGGCGTGGGTGAGATTCTAAGGGAACAAGTAGGGGAAGAAGAGAAGAGGGCCCAGGCATAGCCTGAAGAACGCCAGCATTCAGTGAGCACGGAAGAGGATGTACCTGTCCAGGAAAGTTGGAGAGGTGCCTCATAAAAGGCAGGAGAGAAGGAAGACGTGGGATGCTGCTGACGTCAAACACACCGAGAAGGTGAAGATGTCCATTGAATTTAGTTACAGGGAAGTCACTGAGGACTTTAGAAAGAAACTTTGGTGGGACAGGCTTGGAATTCCAAAAGGAGAGGGTAGAGGAGTGATCTGGAGGCAGGAGAGTGGAGATGAGGAGCACCGACAAAGCTCTGGTGTTTGGCTGTGAGAAGGAGAGAGGAGCGGGGTTCAGGGAAGTCAATTAAAGTGTTTAAAGTTGTTCTTTTTCTTTTCATTTTAACAGCTTGACTGAGGTGCAACGAACATATGATAAGCTGCACATGTTTAAAGTGTGCCAATCTGAAAAGTTTTGACATACGGCCACACCTGTGGAGCCGTGACCACAGTCGGGAACATAGCTGCACGCCCGGAAACTCGGCTGCCCCGCCCTCCAGCTCCCTCCCCGCCACTGCCCCGCATCCACTGATTTGCTCTCTGCAGTTTGCATTTCCTAGAATTTTATAAAATGGAGTTTTATATAATTTTATATTTTATAAAAGGTACTCTTTTTCAGTCTGACTTCTTTCATTGCAGTATAATTGAGATTCATCTATACTATTGCATGTATCAGTAGTTCATTTCTTTTATTGCTGAATACTTCTTTATTATATGGCAATACCATAATTGGTTTATCCATTCATCTGTTGATGAGTATTTGAGTTGTTTCCAGTCTGGGACTGTAACAAATTAAGCTTTTGAATATTCCCATGCAACTCTTTATAGGGACACATGCTTTTATTTCCCTGCAGTAGATAACTAAGAGTGGAATGGCTGGGTGTATATTTTCTTTTCTTTTCTTTTTTTTAAGCTGACAGCACCCAGTATTTCCATGTGGTCTCCATCCAAATACTAACCAGGCCCAACCCTACTTAGCTTCCAAGATCAGGTGCATTCAGGGTGGTATGGCCTGTTTAATTTTTAAGAAATCATCAAATTGTTTTCCAAAATGGTTGTACTGTTTTACGAGAGTCCCAGTTTCTCTACATCTTCTTTTACAACATATTTTCTCTACATTTGGTATGGACAGCCTTTTAGATTTTCTACATTCTAGTAGCTTCTCCTCCTTTTTCTAGCCCTATTCTATTTGGAGAGAGGAAAATGGTCCATGTGTAGGAAGGCAGAGAGAAGAGGAGAGGAGGATAAGGAGACAAAACCAGCCACACCCCAAGGCACCAACACAGCCTGTTCAAGAGTGAAATGCTTTTCTGAGTCTGTGCTCTGGGACAAACCCAGTCCCTAGCAAATAGTATTTCCTATGAATCACTGGGCTCACATGTTAGCTTACTGCCTTCCAAGGCCCTGGACATAAGACAACTTTTACAGGGACCTCAGCTTTGGAAGGCTCCTCCCTGGCCCCTGTAGAATGGAAAAGTGGGGAAGGTATCATTCAATGCCCATGAGATCCTGGTCTGGCCCACACTGAGTGCAGTCAGAAGACGACAGCATTTCTCTGCCCACCTGGGAGAAGACGCGTGGGTTGGGGTAGGGAAAAGGGGAAATGGGAGTTCCTAGACCAAGTCTGCACTTATTCCAGGGTGGAAAGGGCAGCTTGTTCTGCTGAGGAATCCATCCTGTTCAGCCCTCAGAGAAATTTATGTCCCCTCTATTAATTTGGCCAAACAGGTTTCAATATACAGTTGACCCTTGAATAACTTGGGGTTTAGGGGCATCGACCCTCCTCATGGTAGAAAATCAATGTATAGTTTGTGATTCCTGCCAAACTTAAATACTAATAGCCTACTGTTGACCAGAAGCCTTAACAATAATATAAAGTCAATTAACACATATTTTGTGTATGTGTTGTTTATATTTCTCTAGACTGTAAATTTATAAGATTTGTGTATATTTTATGGCAGTAAATAATAGACTATTATCTACATGTACTTTATGAATTCATGACATGCCTAGTTTTTTGTTTTCTTTTGATATTCCTTAGCTATGCAGTTCATCTGAGAGTTTTTTCAAATTGTGACAAATCTCCAAAAAATTTTTCAATACATTTATTAAAAATAATTCATGTATAAGAGGACCTGCACAGTTTAAAGCCATGTTATTCAATGATAAACTGTATAAGTATAGGTTGTAAAGAGGATTAAATCATGTTGGGTAGGCCTTCAGGAATTATGAACAAGTAAACCCGGTTAAAATAATAGATTTTTAGTCAAAGCTAAGGCCATCTCTAAAGTCAGATATACATCCTAAGAGCACATACAGGCCACTACAATACTGAATTTTGAGAACCAAGCATTTATACCCCTAATATGGGAATAAAAAAGAACCCAAGTCACTTTACCTGTAGCTGCTGGGAAGAACACCCCAAAGACAGTAAAAAAGGACTCCCCAGGGCTGTAATCTGGCAGAGTGTTGTTCCGTAGCAGTTCCGGGGAATACCCAATAAAACCATGTTCTGAAATAACACAAAGGAGAGCAAAGTGAGCCAAGAGATCAGATCAAGTGCACAGCCTTCCCTGGGTTACAGTCTGACCTTATGCAACTTTAAACATTAAAAGATAGGGGGGCGGGACAGGGCAGGGGAGGCCTGCAGAAACATCTCCCTTCCCACTTCTAGGGCTTGACTTTCGAGTGTCTCTATCTGTAGCTATAGGTAGACGAAATGACATGAAGGAGAATGCTGGTCACCTCTGGGAAGAGGAGCATTTTCATTTTGTGTGCTTTATAGATGTCAGTATATCTCACTGAAATCTTCCAACGAGCAAGTATTTACATATTTGCTTATAAGTTTAAAAAGTAAGCTACTTCCCTACCCAAAAACTTTCCCATGGGTCTCTATTAGCTACAGACTAAAGTCCAAACTCCTCAAGACAAATACCAAAGCCCTCCACAAGCTGGCAACAGCCCATTTCCTATTCATTCACTGCCTTCCCTCTGCCCAACAAGCACTCAGACAACACTTCCCAAGAACACCACTGTTACCCAGGCCCGAGTCCTCTGCCTTCCAGACCCTCCCCACGTCTCTAAGCATCAACACCATGCTCACTCTTCAAGTCCATCTCAAAGGTTCCTTTCTTTGGGCCTTACATCAATTCCCCTACCAGAATTCCTCCCAGGTGCCCTCAGTACCATAATTAGTCATATTAGGTCTTTCCCCAAGTAGACTCCCTGGGGCAATAAATCCAGTCCCACATTTCTATCTCCCAGAATCAACGTAGGCAGTTTGCAAATACGGGTCACGCTGAAAAGAATTTTTCTCTTAGATCTCGGCTACAGACACATCTCGCATCCACGCTCTCAGTGTGACCTGTTGATGGACAACTTTACAGCAGGAACACCTTGGGTCTGATTTCTTCAAAGCACCTTAAACATTTGTACACTGACATTAATAACATTTTTCAGGTGGTTTCAATCCTACAGGTACTTTGTTTCTTTGTCAAAGGAGGTCACTTTGATTAGCATCTGCAGACATGGAATGTTAATGAGCTGTGAAATTTTAAGATACAAGTCAAGTGTTCTGAGATTTAGGAACATCCAGGGTTATCCAGTCTCTGCTTTTGAATCTCATCTCTGAGAATGAGTTGCTTTGTTTCTTTTAACTGTGGTTCAAGAGAAACCAATCCTGTTCTTTTTCTTTTGACCCTCACAATCACATAGAGTGGGTGTGCAGCCATCACTCCGGCCAGGCCTGAGGGCTGTGGTGACAATTTCCTGCCTGCCTGTCCTCCACCTACCTCAGGGCTTAGCTTCACCCTGAGCTTCCATCCGCAGAACAGTTCCTGCTCACTCATGAGTCCAGTGAGATCACCAGTGCTTCTCACAGCTTCCAAGATTCATAACTTCATAGGAAAAATATTTTTCAAAAGAGTAATAAAATCAAAGCTCAGTGAAGCACAAGGACCTTTGGGAGCCCAGTCAGGACTTAAAATCATTGTCAATTGTTTTCTTTTGCCTGAGCACAGGATTTGTCCTGGGACATTCAATCCCAAGGACTGTGCAACATTTCTGAATGGTTTGGCATCTTCACAGCTTGTCATCCCCTCATTAACAGAAAAGCACTAACAGCTAAGTTAACTTCAGTTTACCCGCTGGCTGACCCCACTGACTAACCTTTCTGAGGAGAAAACCAGCCCAGCCTGCCTTGGAAAGCAGCTCGGCCAAGCTGAAATGAGGCACACAGGTCTGAAAACACATCTGAGCACGAGGCTGTGTGCACGCCGGGCAGGCCACCGTGCAGGACAGGACGTAAGCACTTCATCAGGCTCCAAGGGCCCCGACAGTCCTGAAGGCGGCCCTGACACAGGTGGGTGTTTGTCGCCAGGCCTGAAGAGCTTTGCCCTGGTCAGCCTGAAGGTCAGAGGGACTCCAGGTCCCTCAGTGAGTCACTGGGAAGCCTTTTTTCTCTCTCCATCCCACCAAGACCCACAGATTAAAAGAATAAGTCACTTGGCTGGCACAGTGGTCTGGGGAGGAAGCCTGTCCCCTCAGTAAGGACGGACGGCTGATGCAGTTCTCACACACACACACACACACACACACACACACACACACACGCACGCAGTCACACCGACACGACTGCTGAACCCCAGCCCTCTCCTCCCAAGTCCAGTTCTGAATCCTCCTCAAGGAAGAAAAATCTTGACTTTGAAAAGAACTTTCTGGACAAAGATATTTGTCAATACTTCATGTGTAATAATGTAAACTAAGGGGGTTCCAGTCTAAGTATAGGAGACTGAAGTATTTTAATTGTCTATAAAGGGTTGTTAGTACCACAGAAAACTATCCATGTTACGTAGGATAAATGTTAAGTTAGAACACTGGACACCATTTACAGTACAAATACAAAAACAAGTTTTAATCTATATGTGTAAGAAAAGACTAGAAGGAAACATCAAAATACTAATTGTGGTTATCTGTATAATGCAATTATGGGCAATTTCTTTTCTTTTTTTTCTTCTTCTTACAAATTTTCCATATCGTCTTTCACAAACATAACTGATTTATCATCAAAAAATAATCTTTTAGAAAAATTAAAAAAAACATCCAGCAACTGGAAGCCTATCCCCTCCAGATGGCTTTTCAACAAATACGTATCTTTTTTTTCCTTTCCATTTACACTCTACCTGCTTCTCCAAATAATTTAAGTGGTTTATGAAAAACATAAGGTAGGGCAAATAGAACAAGGACCAAAAAAAGAAGTTGAGCAAGAGAAAAAGTGATAGAGAACAGCTACAACACCACGGGACCCAGCCTGAGGGGCCAGTGCAAGGCTCCGATGTAAGATCCTGCAGCGATGGCCTTCCACCCAGAACTCAAGGCCTAGAGGCTTTTTCCTGATGAAGCCCACCCAGGCAGGGACAGACCCCAGGGCCCACTGCTCACACTTGCCAGGCAGGCAGCACTTTCCAGTGGGTGGGAAGAGCTCCAGAGGCCCCTGCCTCTGCCTTCCCCAGTACCCCTGCCACCTCAGGTCCCCAGGCACAGAGGCCTGGCCCCGCTGGCCCTCATACCAGCTCCTGGAGCTCTGGTCTCTCTCCACATCCCAAACCTGATGGTACAGCTGGACCTTGAGTTCACACAGAGCAGATGACCTCTGATGTCTCTGACTGGCTTGTACTTCCCAGCGAAGGCACGGTGTCCAGGCAGAAATCACCCGCCACGCCCTCTTATGGTGCAGTCTTGTTGCCGGATTTGCTGACATCCAGAACAAGAATGTCTTAATTCTTCCAGTCGTGGCCCTGTTTGAGAATCTGAGGAAAGCTGTGGCTTCCGTTCCCCACAAACAGCACATTTTGCACACCACTGGGGGGTTCCCAGGCCTCTGAAGCCCCTCTGAGGGACACAGACCACAAAGTTCAGGTCCTGTACTTGGCACCTGAGACTTTTGCCAGGCCCTACATGCACCCTGACATGCCAAGCCCTGACTGCCACCACAGCGGACAGCAGCCTCAAGGGACACAGCCAGTGATGTTTCATCCTACAGCCCCTGCCAGGCAACGGGGAGTCTCTGTGGACAAAGGAATTGTGCAGGATCCCAAGGACATCATGGGGCAACCTCTCCTTTGAACATAATGATATTGGCCATTTGTTGGGCACCTGTGCACCAGTCACTGAGTACTTTGTCCTTTACCACATCCTCCTCGATCCTCACAACCACCCTGCAAGATCAGAGGTGAGGAAACCAGGCAGAGGAAGGTGACGGATCTTGTCCACAGTCACACATTTAATGTCCCCTTGGTACAGGTGGGGATTATTATAAATAAAGCATGTAATACAGCCACTGGAGGCTGGCAGCCCAGGGCCCCCACACTGCCCTCCTCACAGAGATGCACCAGCTCAGGTTCTCTTCAGCCCCCCAAACCTGCCCTGGGAGATCCTGGCATCTCCCTCTCTCCATCCATGGGGGGCAGACAGTAGGTATGTCCTTTGGAATGCCACCCACACGGATGGGTACGTGACTGGCTGGGGCTTGCACAGCTTGGAGGTGGCAGAGCTGTGTGGACCCCCGGGTCTGTCTGGATTTAGTTTTCTGTCTCCCATGCCATCTCTTAACCCTGAGTTGTTCCCCCAGAGATTTCAAAAGCTTGTGTCTTCACCTCGGTGGGCCTTTTGGATCCTCTGCTGGTAAAACGGGGAGCCAGGTTGGCTCCCAGCCGACACCTCCCACCTAGGAAAGGTCCAGGAGCTGCTGCATGGGAATGCATCTGGGGTTGACTTCAACATTAGTTTCTGTATCCAAGGGAAAAAGCTACTGTGGTCCCGTTTGAGTTAGGTGCTCTTAGGGAGAGCAAAACCAGACGGGAGGCGGGGGAACAAAGGAGAGAGAAAACAAATCACAACCTTCACGCAAGAACAGGCAGAGAGAAGATACTTGAAGGTCTGCTGCAAAAAGGCTTTGCCTTCCCCAGATTCTTCTTGGGATGCTGTGTTCTGTGGCCTGTGGGGCCCACTGTCTGCTCCCAAGGGGTGCTCATGGGACCCATTCACCTTGCCCTGGCCAAAGGCAGTCACCCTGGTCACAAGCTGCCACAGAGCGCAGCTCCCTCAGGGCCGGGCTGGGTTCCAGACCCCCGGGGGAGGTTGCTGCAGCACCTGAAGCTCCCCCACCCCGCTGCCCCCACTTCATGTCTGCTGAAATTAGAAGAGGCTGGCGGGAAGCCACCAGCCCCCGCATGTGGGTGTCAGATTGCGACCACTGACTAACTTAGAAAGCGAGATTTCTAAAAATGACGGTGGCACTGGGGGCCGCCACCCCACTGCAAGCTGCTGGGGGCTCTGCGCGGGCCGGGGCTTCCGGCACCGGCTTTCTTCTTGGCTCCGTTCCCCTACCCCTCAACCAGCGGGACAGCCCCTTCCTGGGAACGGACAATGGGAGAGGCTGGTCCGACCAGGAATAGAAAGAGTGGAGGAAGGGCTGGGAGCCCACGGGGCGGGCTGGGGCTGGGAGATCACAGG